CACTTCTGGTTTTACACTGAAGAAAATAGCAACGTTGTGTAAAACTGCATAAAACTGGGAAAAGAATAGTCTCAAAGCGATTCCCGGGATTGTAGTTACTCTATATTTGTAGGTGAACATGGCAACCAATTGACACACAGCAATTTCCCACAAGGAGCCATGAAGTTATGAACAAATTTATCTGGAGGATTTTTCACCAGAATATCAGGAGAAACTCCCTTCTCTTTTCGAGGAATAATAATAATAATAATAATAATAATCCTTGCATTTGATATAGCGCTTTTCACGTCGGGAGGACGTCCCAAAGCGCTTCACAGAACACACTGTAAAGTGAATTGACTGTATATTTGTGGGCGAACGCGGCAGCCAATTGCACACAGCAATGTCCCACAAACAGTCGTAGATTGAAAATGACCAAAATCTTATTGTTTTGGGGTTTTTTTTTTTTGGAGGGATTATTATTAGGCGCCAAGGGATCTTTACATCCACCTGAGAGACAAATGGGACAGTTTAATGTTTTATCTGAAGGGTACCACCTCTGACAATGCGGCACTCCCGTAGCATTGCATTTGAGTGTCAGCCTGGACTACGAGCTCAAAGTTCCCAAATGAGCCTTGAACACACAGCCTTCTGGCTCAGAGGCTATAGTGGCTATCAGGTTGACAGATTAACAGCATAACGGTATTAAGCGCTCCGAGATGCTACCATGCGTGAAGTGCACTGTATAAATGCAAGTTGTTGTTGTATCAGTCTTCATGCTTGCAGGAGCATAACAATTTCCAATTGCTAACACTAGTGAACATGTCATTTTGTGTTTATAATGGGAAATCACTGGTGTGTTAGTGACTGCACATGGATTTGACCCTGTTGTCTGCATCTAGTATTCCCAGCAGCAACCCAGAAAAACACTCCCTTTATAATAATAATAATAATAATAATCCTTGCATTTGATATAGCGCTTTTCATGTCTTCTCGACATCTCAAAACGCTTCACAGAATATGCTGTAAAGTGAATTGACCGTATATTTGTGGGCGAAACGCGGCAGCCAATTGCGCACAGCAATGTCCCACAAACAGTCGTGGATTGAAAATGACCAATTTATTATTTTTGTTGTTTTGGAGGGACTATTCAATGCTCCAACAATCTGCCAAACCCCAATCTCATAAGAGAATGCTCAGTTGCCATTTCCATTTCACTAACTGTCCCTCTGGGAATTTTCTGAGTAAGATTACCAATTGACTAAACAGTGTCCTGGAAACTCATACCTTCTAAGAAATACCTGGAGTCTAACCAAATACTGTACATTTAAGTTCATGACAGCAGGTAGTTGAATGAGACTTTCAATCTACAAGCTCATGTTGCTTCAAACCACCCCCAGTGTTGAAATAAGATGCTTGCTAATACCAGCTCAGAGACATTTTTATTTTTCTCCTTTTCAGCAAATTACTCAGTTTCCAACAGTAACAATTCCTGATTTAAATGGGGAAAAAAAAGGTTCTTTGTTGCAAAATAACTTGTGAAAATATTTTTCAAACATATAACAAGCGTTTACAATGTACTGTATTGAAGGATTGAAATTCAATGTAATTTGAATCCAGCTTTTGCGGAGAAAGAATGTTGCGGTTCCTTTGGTTCTTCCTGTTTGGGTTAGCAAATCAAACCACTATCCTTCAACACAAAAGATGTTTTGCTCCATTGTGTAGTTTATTGTGAAGCTGATTGCTCACACTGACCCTGGTTCTCTCATACATTGTACTTATCTTAGCTCTGTGTTAGTTACCAAACATTCTGAATGCTTTGTTTTCTCTGAATTTGGAAATCCTCACCACATATTCATGCGATCCTTCATGGTTGCTGGGCTTCTCATATTTGTCAATATGAATAGAGCAGTTTGTCATTTTTTTATGGAATTCGGAGTAGTCAGAGTGCCCAGGCTTATTGTTGAAGTAAATCGATGCGTGTCACAATGTTTCTGACATTATATGCCCTCACTTCTGCTTTTGACACCTCCTGCCCTGACTTCTCAAATACACTTGTCACTGGTATCTGCAGTTCCACATTCCACATGGTCCAGCACATCCAAAACACTCTCCCCGCATCCTTACCCACCAAACTCCGCATGCCTATCACCCCAATCCTCTCCAGGCTCTGAAAGAATTGACTTCACAATTCTCAGTCTCACATACGAATCTCTTCATGCTCCAGCAGCTCCCTATTTCTCTGATCTCCTCGTATCCCTCTCCTCTTACGTTCAGCTCAGGGCTGCTGTGCCTCTCAGATCCACCACCATCATTGGCCAAACTTTCAGTCATTATGTCCCTAATGTCTGGAACTCTCTGCCTCTGTCGCTCCTCCTTTCCTCCTCTGTAACTATTTTCAAATCCCCCTTTAAAACCTACCTCTTTGACCATACTTATAATCACCACCCATGTCCCCTTTCTCCTAGCTCGGCGTCCAACTCTGCCACTCTGATGCTCTGAGATGTTAGTCTATGTGAAGATTGCTGTATAAATATGAATTATTGTTGTACTGTATCCTTGTGTTACACTGGAGCAGGAACACAGGTGTTAATCCATTGTGAATGTTGGAGGTCTTGATCCCAACAGCATTAGAAAACGTGGGTTGCACTGAACAGTTCAACTGCAACATTGAAACATGGTTAATTCTATATTGAATCATTAATTTTATCCAAAGGGCCAAATATTTTTTTTACTGCAATACCTCTTTAAGGTGACAAAACGAGTTCTAAAAGAATTCAGTACCTATCTGTGGGCAATCTTGTAATGTCTACTTATCTGTGACCGAGGGTTCTGATAAGCACCTAAAGAAAGCTACATCAACAGAGTCCGTGATCCGATAAAGGGAAATCCAGATTTTGCTTTTGTTAGTCACGTCTGCAAGTGTCTATTTGTTGTAATAGAGGCATTGAGCTGTAGCAGCATATATTCAGTTTAATCAATCACGTCTAATGATTTCATGTGCCTTTAACATTTGGAGAGAGGGCATGTGTCTATTATTATGTGTGTACATTTTCATCACTTAGATGTTGAGTGTTAATAAGAACAGTCAATGGGGCCAATGACATCTGCAAATGGAACCCTTTTGCTATTTGACTAAGCAATGCATGGTGGAACATTTAAAATCATGAACATTTCCACATTATGTGCATAGGAATAATTCAAGTGAAACCCAACTGAATAGAAAGTCTTTCACCCTTCTGGTTGCCTACCTAAGAAAGTAGATTTGCAGTAAATATTTATTATAACAATAATCCTTGACCTTGCTATAATGCCTTTGTCATCGAGAATGCCCCAAAGCCCTTCAGAAAGCTTTTGTAATGTTTAGTGACTGTGTATATGTAGGCAAACTTGGCAACCACTTTGTGACAGCAACATCCCACACACAGCCATGATATGAATGTCAGGGGAAACAGTCACATGAGACCTCAGTTAAACATCTGGTCCAAAGGATGGTGCCTCTCCCAGCACACAGACTATGAGCTCAAAGTCTCAAACTAGGGATTAAACCCACAAGCTTCTCACCCAGAGGCGAGAGTGCTACCAAATGAGCCACACCGACTCCCGCTGTCTGTAACACACTGTGGCCTTGTGGAATAACCTGCTAACATGATGGCATACTGGCATTTGATGGACAAATTCCTAACTCCTCCATTTCCAGAAACTTTGTATGTTTCTGGTTAGGTGACCAGCAGCTTCACATCCATGTACATCGTCTATAGAGTGAAGTTAATTTTGTTTGATTTGTGCTTCAAAGGTGTTTCTGTTGGAAATCTGTTTCATGAAAAGAAGAGCCGTTCTGTATTGTAGGGGAGCTTTAGGTGTATCTGATCTCTGTGCATTGGCACCACTTACTCAAGGATTTATTCGCTCGTAATTATTTAAAGATGAAAACACGTAACTTTATCACGTTAGGAACTTTAACACAGATTGTTACCAGAGGATGTGTAGGAAAGGCCGGGAACCTTTAAATACTTTTATCACTGAAATTGTGGATTACCAGCCTTTAAGAGTCAAACCGATTAACCCTTCGGGGACTGGAGAGCATTTCTGTTCCAAATATGAAGGTGATGAGAAACGAATAAGAGAATAGAACAGAAAATGTGGTCAATTGTATTTCAAACTTGCATTAAACATACAGAATTGGTTCACTCTGACCAGACCTGGTGACCCTACACAGAAAGAGGGTGGAAAATGTAAAACTCTGAAAGCTGCTGAAACAAATTGGTTTCTGCAATTGAGTGGCTAATTCTTTTTAAAGTGATTTCTTTGTGGTTTTGCATTATTGTTTTAACAATGTCATGGTTACATTTCGTGGGTTTCTTTTTTTTGGATTCATCCCCCTCCACCCCCCAAAATAAAAAGAGAAAACCACGCCTCTGCAGAAATATCCGACTCAAGAGAAATCGCAGCAGGATACAGGTTCAGAAAGAAGCAGAGGTCAAGTGGTGGCAGTGTTTGGCAAAATACTCACTTCAAACCACGTGAAGAGAGTGGAACCTGATTTAAAACCTCGCATTTAGCATCGCCTGTAGCTCAGTGTCTCACAAACTTCCACCGGAGTCCAAAAAAAATACTTTTGCTTTCAAAAGATTGGCTTCAGGTCGACAAGAATCATCTCTTCTTCCATCCCCCAGTCCTCTAAATCTTCTGAACTGTGGTTCCCCCCTCTCCCTCCCTCCCTCTCTCTCCCTCCCTCTCCTCCTCCTACATGCAATGATGTTTTCTGTGGAGAGGCAAAGCTGAGTAACTCACAACTGTTTTCAATTTTTTCCTTTTTTTTCTCTCTCTCTGTGTGTGTGTGTGTGTGTCTCCACAGCAGAACAACGCATGAGAAGAACTTGCTCCATCAGTGAGGCTGTGTGTCTGGATTGCTATTAGCTGTGTGCAATTCCCTCTCTCTCCCTCTCTCTCTATGTGAATTCTGTATGTGCTTAATTCAGATTGCACCCAATATACACACACACACATAACACACACACACTCACTCACTCACTCATCCTCACTTGTTCGGGAGCAATGAGTAAGACAGTCCACTCCGACCCCAAGCTGCTGTCTGTTGGTCCCCTAAGAGAGTGTAACGACCTGGAGAAGAGGGAAGTGGAGCTGATTTTGGTGAAGGAACGCAACGGCGTTCAGTACACGAACGCGGCTCTGGTCCGCGGCGCCTCTGCCCAGTGCCCCTCCACCGAGGACAAGGATGTGGGCAGAGAGGTTTGGGGTAAGAAGATCGACTTCTTGCTGTCGGTGGTTGGCTTTGCGGTGGATTTGGCCAACGTCTGGCGGTTCCCTTTCCTCTGCTACAAGAACGGAGGCGGTGAGTCCCCCGTCTTGACTTTTGACTTTGACTTCGCTTTGGCTTTACTTTCTGAACTCGCGCTCCACGTTTTTTTCCGACGTGGATCACACACTCACACTCACACACTCACTCACACACACACACTCACACACACTCGCAACCGGTGGCTTTAGTTTTATTACCCCCCTCTCCCCCCCACCACACACACACCTCTTTTTTTTAATGTATTTTAATGCAATAGATTTTTTTTTAAATGTCTGAAAGAAAAACGGATGGATTGCTTCTTATCTGTGGAGTGTAGGATTTGCATTGCAACGTTTTTTTTTTTTGCCAAACCCTTGGTTTTGCCTATTTTCCACTCTCTATCTCTATCTCTCTCTCTCTCTCTCTCTCTCTCTCTCTTCCCAGAGACAGTTTTACAGCTGTAATCTCCAGTACAGGTCAAATTAGTGCTGTGTGACAGACTTGTCAAAGGCACTGCGTACACTGTCTTAGTTCCCCTCCCCATCCCCATCCCCATCCCCTGTGGTACATGGCATGTGTTGTCAGTGTGAGCATAACACAGTTTGATTTCAGTAAGTGCACAGCAGGTTACACCGATCGACCAGTAAATATGCTTCACACTGACATTTTCTTTCCCAAAAAAAAATATATATTTTGAGCATCAGTCAGTTTGTCAGTAAACTCACAGATAGCTGTTCAGGCGGCAGCAATCTTCCCCTTTGGCACCCGACAAAGTGATCGGAATCTAACCGAGAAATCGGTAAGAAAAAGTTCGCTCATGGTGTTTTTGGTTGTCTCGCCAATACTCCCCCCTGTGGGGGTTTACAGGACAAAACTGCTCCAGTTTTCCGCAGGCTTTGAGACATGTGGAGTTGAAACTGTTGCCCAATGCTTCTCTGGTTAGTTGGCTCCTGCTTTTCATCAGTGAACTCTTACCCCATCCATGACCTAGGCCTAGATTAAGTAGCGTTTAGCCATATAATGACTTGCCACATAATGAATGAAACACCATTTGATTCTGTGGATTTTTATTCTCCATTCAGTCTGCTCTTCTCCCTATTTATAGGTGCATTCCTCATCCCTTACTTGTTCTTTCTGTTAATCGCTGGAATGCCCTTGTTTTACATGGAGCTAGCATTGGGACAGTACAACCGAGAGGGTGCTGCTACTGTCTGGAAAATCTGCCCCATCTTCAAAGGTGGGGTGTTATTTATACCAGTAGAAGATGTATATACTTTTTGCATGTTCAAGATAATCACTGTTTGCATATTCAGGTTGTGGCACTGTTTCTTTTTAAGCAAAGTCACTGAAACGTTTAGACCGGAAGTTTTCATATCTGGTTACACATCATTAAGTTAAATTCTAAGGGTCTGGCATCTTATTCTTGATTTTGTGACTTAAATATGTAAATAACACTGGCATCCCAAAAGCAGAAATTACCTGTCAGATAAACCAGCTATTTTCTATTATAAATCTGATAAATAGTTTTGCTCACAAACAGTACAGTTAATTCACTTTACAGTATGTTCTGTGAAGTGCTTTGAGACGACACAAAGACATGATAAGGCGCTATATCAAATGCAAGGATTATTATTGTTTTCTATTATCAATCACAGATTTTACTTAGAGCATACTTTTTTTCTTAGAAAAACAAGTTTGTCCTAATTCTATACAGAGTCCACATCTCTTGGTGTGCTTGCAATATAATTTGATTTAGGTCAAAGCATGCACTTAAGGAATTAATAGCTGTTAATTGTTAATTAATTGTTGAGGACATTTTCTAAAAATGTTACCTCGGGGAAATGTTTGTAAAGAATCTTGGAATAAATCCTGTTGATAAAATTGTAATTTCAGCAGGTGCCTGTAGCAGGTGCCTATAGGATAAGCCTATAGGTTTTTTTCTGGGTAGCAATGGTGACATTAATGTAATCTGTTTATCGCTCTTCCACTATGGCACTTGGATTCAGGTGCAGCCCAGACAGATGGGATAAAAGTAGCTCTTCTCTAATGGGGTCAGCAGGAGTAGAGGGCAGGGAGGGTAGGAGTAGAAATGTCACCAGAGGTGCTGTCGAAGAGGAGGGCTTTGAAAGATGGGTCTTGAGAACATTTACTTAAGGTGGGGAATGCACTTTTGAAGTCAGGCTTAAGGTGCACCGTTCGGGACAGAGCAGAGGAAGACTCTTCTTTGCATTTGCAGCCTTTTCAGTTGCCCAGTTCCAGACAACGAGGGTATGCTTTGTTGTGAGAAAAGTAATACTTTAGAGAGGGTGAGTTGTGGGATGTGCACCTTTTCGTGACATTCATAGTGCCGATGGAGAGAATGAAAGTGACAACTATGCACTCACTATGCATCGTTATTTTTACTTTTTACCATATTTTGTGATGTGTCTTTTTGTTTCAATTTCACTGAAAATGAAAAAACACCTCTTGGACACACAAATTTCGGCACGATTTGTACGTGCAATGGAACCTCAATGAATATTTAGCCCCTTTTGCGCACAAAGTAGCCACATCAAAAAAAAATTGCTGCCAGAACCGCTTTAGTCACAGGAATTCCAATTCTCTCTCCCACATTTTTTCCATCAACATAAGGGGTGAAACCAGTTTTCAAGTGCTATGTGAATAAAGAATCGTTAATAGGCCAGTGTGTTATTTTTGTGTAAGGAATGCATGCACCTCCCCCCCCCCCACCACCAAGATTAATGTGGAAAAAAATCTGTAGTTATTTTCAAAAAGGAATTGGCAGCATTGAGAGCTTCTTTTGAAGCTTCCTGATTTCACTCCTAAATGGCCTAGCTCTAATTTTAAGATTGTGCCCCCCTCGTTCTGGGTTCCACCACCAAAGGAAATTGTTTTTTTAAAAAAAGGGCTGTTTATATGAAGCGCAAACAAAAAGTGCTGTTGTTTTAGGGAGTCATTACGCAATTGTTTTAGGGAGTCCTGTAGCTCAGTGGTTAGAGCACTCGCCTCGCGAGCAAGAGACCTGGGTTTGATAACTGGCAGGGCGAAACCTTGGGCAAATTTGGCTGCCGCGTTTTGCCCACAAATATACAATCAATTCACTTTACAATATGTTCAGTGAAGCACTTTGAGACGTCTAGAAGACATGAAAAAGCGCTATGTCAAATGCAAGGATTATTATTGTTATTATTACCTACAAATATGCGTTAATAAGCATTGCAACAACACATCTGACACACTGTTCAGTGTTTCCTCTTGTGCTGACTTTACACCTAGAAACCTCTTTCTGCAGTCATAGACAAACTTTCTGGTGTAAGCACAAAACTGGGTGGCAACAGATTCCTCAGGTGCTATCGTAAGCACAAGATCTCTGATTAGCCCAACAACAGAGAAACTCATAGGAACATTGGAACAGGAGTTGGCCGTTCAGTTGTTTGTGCCTGTTCCACCATTCTATCAGATTATGGCTGATCTGTACCTCAATTCCAATTATCTGCCGTTGCCCCGTATCCCTTACCTAACAAACATCTATTCACCTCAGTCTTGAAAATTTGAATGGACTCAGCGTCCTTTTGAGACAGAGAGAGTTCCAATTTTCCACTACATTTTGCGTAAAAAAAGAAAGCTTCCTGATTTCACTCCTAAAAGACCTAGCTCTAATTTTAAGATTATGTCCCCCTCGTTCTGGATTCCACCACCAAAGGGAATAGTTTCTCTGTAGCTGCCCTATCGAATCCCTTTACTATTTTAAACACCTTAATCTGATCACCCCTCAAACTTCTAAACACACTTCACTCGAGTTGTTTATAGGGGAAAGTTGGGTGTTTTATCGCACATTTTCCAAAATGGCCTACGGTTATTTAGAAAACGGCTCGATGATGCAATGGGAATATGGCACATAGGGTGGGTATTCTGGAAGGATGAGATCAAAGCGTTTGCCTCACCTGCACCTCTCTTGTGATCATTTCAGATGGAAATATTGACACCTATTGGGGTTCTTTTCATTGTTACATTAGAGAATATCTAAATTTTAGGACTAACCTTCCTGGCTATTAGAAATACGTCTTAAAAATGCTCCACTTAATTTTGTATAGATGAACGCTTTAAGCTGTGTGTATCAACTAGACAGAAACAAAACATAGTCCCGCTTGTTGTGTTCTGTAATGGATTGTGAATCTTAACGCTATTGCTAGAAATTAAATGACTAACAATAATTTTTCTTATAGGTGTGGGCTACGCTGTGATACTAATAGCCCTGTATGTTGGGTTTTACTATAATGTCATCATAGCCTGGTCTCTGTACTATCTCATCTCTTCATTCACAATGGACCTTCCATGGGCAAACTGCAATAACGTTTGGAACACTCAAAACTGCACTGACCCAAAGCTCCTCAATGACTCAATATTTGGAAATATAACCAAGTATTCAAAACATAAAATCACACCAGCTGCAGAGTACTATGAGTAAGTTGACGGCTTTGCCTTTATCTTCTCTCCAATCACTTGCGCTCAGAGATCAGACAGTTCAAATCCTGTAACATAGCATGTTAATCGTGTCATGGAACATTTTAGTCAGCATTTACCTCAGTGCATACGTTACATTAATTGTAGATTGGCCAAAGTTGATCATTGTTGCCATAGTTCTGGAGTATTGTAGTCAGTGATACTTGAGCTGCTATCCGTAAGCTTTTGATAGCATCTGACATTACTATTTTTAAGTTGATGAACAATGCCAAACGATACTTGCACTGAATATTTAGTCATGTTTAATTCTGTTTAATGGTCCGGTTAAATATCATACTAAAAGTATCACAGAGTTCTTCATCAATGCTTGTCTTAAGTTCAGAAAAGTTGTGTACATGTTTGAAGCGCCTCTCCCAGTATTTGCTGTACTAACCGTAACTTCCTGCTTGTTTAGCAAAAGGGACAACAAAAAAAACCTAATCAAGACACACAAAGATTGTATGTTCTTTGTTTTTTCAGGCTTAAATTTTTTTTAAATGAGATACGAATTTGGCAATTGTAATTCAGTTGGCAAACCCCTACAAGATTATCTCAGGTTTTGCTAAAGAAAATGTTAGTCTTACGGGCAAGCTCAGGAACAACATCACATTTGACACAATTGGTTAAAACCTCCCAAAAAAAATTGTTGCTGTGGAAGAATTGACCAGTGATTCTTTTAGATGGTTTTGACTTCAAGGGCTTGTGATTAATGGGAACGCCCCACGACCCATACAATTGTCTAAATAGCTTGTGGTGCCTGATCACCTTCATTCATCAATCCCCAGATTCTGGATATGGATTCTATCAAGTGTTTTGAGACGTCGAGAAGACGTGAAAAGCACTATATCAAATGCAAGGTTTATTATCATTATTCAAATTGGATCATTATAAACAAATGCTTTCATGCATTCAGCAATCATTTCTTGTTTTGAAAAAGTCATTGAATTAATGATGTTATTCTGTATGTGTGTGGTTTGCTGAAGTTGGATGTACCCAACTCTAAAATGATATGCTAAGACTATTATATAAACCATTGGCGTAAGTTTATTCAGCAACATACCTGATATCTGCTGCAACATGACTCCTTTGTGTCATGTTGAAATGTTTATATATTGTAAAACCCATCATGATCAGAATTACACAGATGAAAGGTACAAGTGGGTACGGGGATAGAGCAGGGAGTTGGGATTAGGAATGATTGCTTCTCAGAGAAGCAAACACTGACACGAAAAAATAGGGTGAATGGCCTCCTATCACCTCGTACATTTCGACGATTCTATGATAAATCTGCTGTGTCAGTGTTACTGTCCACACCTTTATTTGCAATCCTGGTAAAGTGTCTTACAAGACACGCTGTCAATTGACAACCTCTTTTTAATGGTGCTTCTTTTCTCAAAGGATTGATAATGTGGCACCAGATGTGTAATTAAAAGCTGGGTAAATGATAGCACATCTGACCAGATGAAATGCTGGGAAATAACACGAGGCAGCTGTTTGCCCAGCAGGATTCCTTTTTGGGAGCTATTAATTTTAAGGGCCACACTTGGTAATTGCTAGTATCATGCATGGACATTGAGGGGTATAAAATGCAGCAGTTTTTCTACAGGATTCCTTTAACAGAAAAAGAAAAGTAAGCTGGTTCGACTCCAACAGTAGCCCACACACACTCTGGGGTCCCAAAGCCTAGATTCTAGCCAACCTGCACCTAATGCCCTCCGGAATTAGGTAATCAGAGTGTGTCCCTCCAGGGAGACAGTGCTTATTCCATTCCTGAAGCAAGGAAATTTCCATGTGATGTTGGCCTCCCGACGTGGAAGATGCTGTACAAAATCTAAGGATCATTATTATAAATGATCTGCATCTGCACCAATCATCACCACTTTTCTTTACCAATTTTCTACTGTATTTTAAATGAAACGGGTTTTTGCTTTTCTGTACCTGGCGATCCTTTCACTTGTTGTGATACTCAACACGAAACATACCACTTGTGCCTGCATATCCATGGTCATGCCAGCATGAGCATGCAAGATGTGCAACCACTTGCCCATGAGAATCTCCGAGACAAGTGGACAGGCAGTGGATTCACTTTGGATTAAAAATCGCTGGGTGTTACATGACTAACTCCCTTACGCAAAAATGATTTCCTGCCAGCTTTCAAAAAAGAAATTTCCATGAAGGGCCATCTGGAGAGTGCAAATGCTCTGACCCACATACAGTTACAGTTTTTTTTATTATGGAAGAATTGCCTCTTCAAGCCAAAGCCAAACACTGTAGGTAAAGATAGAAATTGAGAACTCAGTTAGTGTATTGATTCTGTGTGAGGAAATCTGTCTTGTTTATGATGAAGGCTGGATGGTTGGAAAATGGGTTAAAAAGATACAGTCCTTACTTTTTTTTCTAATATTTCCATTTTGTATATTAATTTAGGAATGGTGCCTCCCACAGCCAAGTTTCTTTCTCCCTTATGCCATAGAATCCCTCTAAAAGATGCTTCATTATAACGTATGTTGAGTTGTTTTCACAGCCTGAAGGAAGTGACATTGATGGTGACCTGATAACCTACAAATCAGCTGTTTAACTTCTGGAACTCTCAAATATGGTTGACTTCAGGTCACCAGCTCTCCGCTAATGCCATTTCTAGTGTGTTGTGGAATTTGCCTCCTGTGCTGGCTGGCAAACCGAAACACCAACTGTCTGTCTCTGCATATATACAATGAATGTGGAAGCTCTGATTAATAATGTCTCTAGATAATCATTATAATAATCTTTGCATTTAATAATAAAAATTCCTCCATAATGGCCTTTAAGCCTTTATGGCCTTTATGGCTCAACTGGCCTTTTCCCTCCTCTTTTGAGGTGTGGAAATGTCAGTTTTCAGTGAAACAACATGATCTTGACAGTCCCTCAACACTGGTGCTGAACATCCTGTGTTTACTAACTAGTTTCAAAATAAAACACTTTATTGCTACAAGAAAAGTTACTGATAAATAATAATAAATCCTTACATTTAATAGGATACTTTATAGTGTGCAAGTGGCAACCGGAATCCTTGATTTTTTTTCCCCCGGCACTGAATTGGAGTGTCAGCCGAGACCAGTGCTGGCCAACCTTTATGGTCGGCCAATAAAATACATTTTCTCAAATGAATATTTCTTGATTTATTGCATAAATAGACCAAGAAGTACTCAAACGGCCCAACGGCCACTTCCTGCCCATGGGCCATAGGTTGGCCACCACTGGCCTAGACTATCATTTCAAAGTCCCTATGTGGAGCTTGAGCAGCAACTTTCTGACTCCAAGACGAGAGCACTACCAGCTGAGCCAGGCTGACACTTTGAGGTTCCGCCAGGGTCTTGGCCAACAATCCCTCAAATAAAGTTGGTCATTCACTTTAGAGCTGTTTGTGGGACACTGTTGTGTGCAAATTGGCTGCCGCATTTGCCCACAAAAACACACCGTCACTTTGCTTTATGGGATATCCTCTGAAGCGATTTGGGAAGCTCTTCTGATGTGAAAGGGGCCATTACCAGATGTAAGGATGATTAGGATTATTCTTACTAATGTGCAAGTGGGGTAGAGAAGGTAGGATGCATAAGGCTGTGTTCTCTCAGAGTGGGAATCAGATTTAGATTTTAGATGGAGTCCTGTAGCTCACTGGTTAGAGCACTCGCCTCGCAAGTGAGAGACCTGGGTTCGATTCCCAGCAGGGCAAAACCTTGGGCAAGTTTCCTTACTCCACACGCCTGATAATAATGCCTCAAGAAAAACAATTAAAAATAATTTGGTCACTCAATCCACAACAGTTTGTGGGACACTCCTGTGCGCAATTAGCTGCTGCGTTTTGCCCACAAATATACTTTACAATTCACTTTACAGTATATTCTGTGAAGCACTTTGAGATGTTGAGAAGACGTGAGAAGCGCTATATCAAATGCAAGGATTATATTATTATTATGTAGATACGGAATGAATTTCTGCAAGATGTTTTTCACTCTATAGTAAAGTATTCGAGTTTTGATCAAAAAAAAGAAATATCTTGTAGCTTTGCAGCTGTTAGCCACGTAGATGACTAAGAGAAACCTCAGCCACCTGATTTTCATGTGATGCTGATCCTATTTGTATGAGAAGGGAAGGAAATGTTGACACAACACACATCGGTATCAGCAGTGTAGTGACAGAAAAGCTCGCAAGGGAAGAGTCTGGCACAATTAGCATCAGTTGTTTTTCTAGTTTTTGTAAACAAGCATTGAGATCCTCGACAAAACTTTTAACACCAGACCTTTAGACGAAGCTTTTTCTTTCATGCCAAAAAATATGAGGTGAACTGTTGAATGCTCCCCGGATTGAATTCGAAATGAAGGCTAAGAGACTTGGGTTAAGGCAGGAAATCACAAAGCTGCAATTCAACCGAGGAATTCCAATGACATCATATGCTCGATGTCTGTGGATGGCAGTTCCTCACTGGCTGCAATGTGTTACTGTAGGCTATATGATATTTACTGAATTTAAAAAAATCAATAAGCAAAGCTGCACTGAAGAGAAAGAATTAACATCTGTAAATCCATAGTGCCTTCCCCCACCATCCCCTAGCTGCTGCAGCATTTCAGTATTTACAATTATCCCCCTCTCTAAACTTGTCTCCACGGCTGTCAACCCTTTACCGCCACTGATTACGTGATGAGCTTTAACTGGACCTGACAATGTGGATACAGGTAAACACTCACAAACCATAGTATGAACAGGATCGTGCTGTGAATCATCAAACTACAGCTCTAAAGTATCAATGAAATGGAAATGGTCTGACAAACCTTGTTGTTTTCTTTAAATGTGTGTGACCGTAAATGGGCATTCTAGCATTGCTTTTTTTAAAGGTGTGAGGCAAGAGGGCAGCTGATTGTCTGCAAATGACTGAGTGTACTTTATAACATTAGAATATAAGAAATGCTAGACGAAAAAAGACC